CGTTTGGCAGTGTAGCTGGCTAGTCCCTGGATGCAGAGTGCTTTAGACTATACATGCAGTGTGCCGAGAGCACAATAAGAAATAGGAACAGGAGGTAGGCCATTCAGCCCCCTCGAGCCTTCTCCACCATGCAGTAGGATTGTGACTGATCTGACATTCCTCACATCCACTTTCCTGCCCTTTCCCCGAATCTATCTGTCTCAGCCTTCAATATACACAAGGATTCTGCCCCCACAGCTCTCTGTGGAAAGGAATTGTAAAGACACACAACCCTCTGAGAGAAGAAATTCCTCCTTATCTCAGGTGCCCCTTCATTCCGAGACTGTGCCCTCTGGTCCCAGACTCTCCCGTGAGGGGAAACATCCTCTCAGCATTGACCATGTCAAGCCCCTTAATATGTTTCAAAGAGATCACCTCTCATTCTTCTAAACTCCCGTGAGTAGAGTCCCAAACTGTTCAGCCTTTGCTCATAAGACAGTGCCTGCACACCGGGGATCATCGTAATGAATCTTCTCTGAACGGCCTCCAATGAAATGATATCTTTCCTTCAGTAAACTGCTCACAGATGTGGTCTCCCCAGCACCTTGTACAGTTGCAGTTAAACGTCCCTACTCTTACACTCCAAACCCCTTGAAATAAAGGCCAACATTCCAACAACATAACACAACTGAGTTCATCAATAGAAAAGCGTTCCATTCCATCAATGTGCAAGTCATCTGTGCAGTGATTGTAACAAGGTCAGGCAGATGGACCTCATAGAATATGAGTTCCCTGATTGGGGCTGTTAACCTGGTACAATCAGGGAGCCCTGGCTTACAAAGAAAGGTTAAGTGTAAGGGATACAGGCACTCTGGTACCTGACTCTGAATGAGGCCGTACTACAGCCAAGGACTGTTCATGTGTAAGTAAAGGGTGACTCAGTGATGGGGTACCGGCCTCTGTGGAGTTATTTCAATTTGTGACCATGGTGCCACCTCTTAGAAGTTTGTGCCTGGTATCCTGGGACCTACCATGATGCCTATACCATTGAGAACTCTCATGTTCCTGCTATGTTTGAGGGTCCAGATGCCTGACAGGATGGTTAATGGGAGACGATGGCGGATGACTGTGTTACACAGACCCTGACTGAGGGTGGGAGTGTATACAATGCCACCCATTCTCTAACCGGGGCCGCAGCGGAGGTGGAGCACTTCCTGGTTCCACTGCTTGGTGCAATCCAGTGAAACCGTGCAGTACACTGCGGACAGAGGAGCTGTCACTTTGGGAAGGTTCTAGATACGAGGAAGCATTGGCCGTTCCATCACATGTGACCTGAGATGTGTCGGTTTGTGGGGGCTGGTGTATTGTGGCGTTTACTCCAGACCGCCAGTGCTTGACTTAATGCCTAGCCAAGATGGTGTAGTGCCAGGGATCTTGACGGTGCCTGACCTGAGGATGTCACAAAGGCAAAAGACGCCATCGTCTTACTGGACCTCAGGGGCTGCTGTGTCGTTAGACGGAGACTAGTGGTGAGTTCAACCTGAGGGTCACCACGTCGGAGGCAAGGGGAGAGTTTTGAGAAGGAGTACCTTCATGGTAACCTCAGGGGGTGAGGGAATTGAACCCGTCCTGTTGGCATCAGCCTTCGTTACAACACAACCAGCCAGGATGGCTGAGCGGTCTAAGGCGCTGCATTCAGGTCGCTGTCTCCCCTGGAGGTGTGGGTTCAAATCCCACTCATGACAGACACACAGTGGGGGTTTATTTGGGGTGGCACAGCGGTTAGCACTACTGCCTCACAGCGCCGGGGACCCAGGTTCAATCCCACCCTCGGGCAACTGTGTCTGTGTGGAGTTTGCACGTTCTCCTGTGTCTGCATGGGTTTCCTCCCACAGTCCAAAAATGTGCAGGTTAGGGTGGGTTACATAAGAACTAGGAGCAGGAGCAGGAGCAGGAGTAGGCCGTCTGGCCCTTCAAGCCTGCTCCGCCATTCAATAAGATCATGGCTGATCCTTTCATGGACTCAGATCCACATTCTCACTGTATTCCTTTATTGTTCAAAAAAAAATCTTTTTTTTTTAAAAACATTTACTGAAGTAGCATCAACTACTTCACTGGGCAAGGAATTCCATAGATTAACAACCCTCTGGGTGAAGAAATTCCTTCTCAGTTCAGTCCTAAATCTGCTCCCTCTAATCTTGAGGCTATGCCCTCTTGTCCTAGCTTCACCTGCCAGTGGGTTGGCCGTGCTAAATTGCCTGTAGTGTTCAGGGGTGTGTAGATTAGGTAAGTTGTAGGGGGATGGGTCGATATGGACTTGTTGGGCCGAAGGGTCTGTTTCCACACTGTCGGGATTTTATGATCTATGAACCACCCAACTGACTGAGCTAAAAAACCCACTCCATGAAGGTCTGAGTGATGGTGGCATTTTGAGTCAGGATCCACTCCACTCCCAAATACAGGGCAGCCTCATCACTTGTCTTGACTCCCATCTCCCCTCATGCACACTTCTGTCTTTGCCATAATGCGTCAGAAACAGTGGGTGGCTTCGCTCTCACTGTTGGTGCACTGTCTGAGCTAGTGAGGGCAGAGTACAGAGGGCATGCAGGGTTGGTAGTATCAGGGCAGACGGGGAGGGGGAATGTGGTGAGCGAGGGAAGATGTTACTGGCAATATTGAGAGTGACAGAGCATGGGATTGGTGGGAGGAGGGTGCAGCAACAGAGATAGAATGAGTGTAAGGTGTTGAGGAGAATATGGTGGCAGTCATGCTTGGCACAGTGAAGGTTGTTGACCTTATACAGTTAATGGTAAGGCCCTGGGGAGTTGCTGAACAAAGAGACTTTGGAGCGCAGATTCATAGTTCTTTGAAAGTAGAGTCGGAGGTAGACAGGGCGGTGAAGAAGGCGTTTGATACGCTTGTCTTTATTGGTCAGTGCATTGAGTGTAGGAGTTGGGAGCTCATGTTGTGGCTGTACACGACATTAGTGAGGCCACTTTAGGAATACTGCTTGTGATTCTGGTCTCGCTGCTATAGGAAGGATGTCATGAAACTTGAAAGGGTGCAGAAGAGATTTACAAGGATGTTGCTAGGGTTGGAGGGTTTGAGCTATAGGGAGAGGCTGAATAGGTTGGAGCTATTTTCCCTGGAGTGTCGAAGGCTGAGGGGTGGCCTTACAGAGGTTTAGAAAATCACGAGGAGCATGGAGAGGGTAAACAGAGAAGGTCTTTATCCCCAGGGGAGGGGAGTCCAAACCTAGAGGGGCATAGGTTTAAGGTAAGAGGGGAAAGATATAAAAGGGACCTGAGGTGCAACATTTTCACACAGAGGATGGTGTGTGTATGGAATGAGCTGCCAGAGGAAGTGGTGGAGGCTGGTACAATTACAACATTTAAAAGGCATCTGGATGGGTACATGAATAGGAAGGGTTTAGTGGGATATGGGCCAAATGCTGGCAAGTGGGACTAGATTTATTTAGGATATCTGGTCAGCATGGACGAGTTGGATCGAAGGGTCTGTTTACGGGCTGTATATCCCTAAGACTCTATGTCCTACAGTGCTGGGAATTCCTCCGTGAGGTTGAGTCTGCTTTAACCCGAGGGGCTGGGTATTGTGTGGTGTTGCGGTCTCCATTTTTTTATTCATTCATGGGATAAGGGTGTCGCTGGTTTGGCAGCATTTATTGCCCATCCCTAATAGCCCAGAGGACAGTTCAGAGTCAAGTATATTGTTGTAGGCCAAACCAGGTAAGGATGACAGTTTCCTTCCCTAAAGGGCATCAGTGAACCAGGAGGGTTTTTCCAACAATCGACAATGGATTCATGGTCATCATTAGATTCTTAATTCCAGATATTTTCTTGAATTCAAATTCCACCATCTGCTGTGGCGGGATTCAAACCCAGGTCCCCAGAATGTCCGGATTAACAGTTCAGCGATAAAACCACCAGGCCATCACCTCCCCTGCTGACCCTAGGGGAAGGGGAAGTCCTCACCCAACCCCTCTAGCAGGACCTCTGGGTTCCTGCCTGCAAAACAGAGCAACAATTTATGCCTGACCGCTACATCTGGGGCAATTGTCAGGACCACTTGTGGGGCAAAACTGGACTGACAGAGTGTACCTTGGGGCACAGTGGGTTTTTAAAGATAGCGGGGACACAAGGGATGGACTCAAAAATAGACTCTCATTAGAGACAGAGACAACTGTTGGTGGTTTAACTGTAGGGTCAGTCTGAGAGGAGAGTCCTCCGTGGTGACCGCAGATGGTGTGGGATGGAATCACAAATCTGACCTCTGTGGGATGAGGGAAGACAAATGGACTAAACAAAAAACACGGACTCAGTTCTGAAGAACAGGATCTGAAAAGTTAACTCTGATTTCTCTCCACAGATGCTGCTAGACCTGCTGAG